GGAAGGGCGGTAGGGCTGGTTAAATGGTGGCTGGTCGGCGGTGCGGGGAGGGGTGAGGCGAACGTAGGAGAGAGGGATGCTGGGGCGGTTCAAGCGAGATCGAGTTCACGGCAAGTGGAGTACGGCAGTTTGTGTCAGACCACGGAGCACGGAAGATGCTCCCGGTTGTTCACGAAACGGGTGGACCACCCTCGTCGCGGCGGCGGCGTCGCGCGTCGATTTTTCTCGGTGCCGTGTCCGCTACGGTTCGAAACACCAGGAACCTCGCGAGTTCATCCAGGATCGCCAGGCCAATTTCCACTGCCACCATCATGACTACTGCCTTCAGCCTGTTACTGGTCCTGTTACCAGCGGCGTATCCGGACATGATCCCCATCGGTGAGTGTGTCGCCTCGAAGTGATCCAATCTTGTCACCGTTTAATTCGAGTTCGACGTGAATTATATTCGTGATCGTTAACCGGGAACGTCGGGTAATAGGAACGGCTACAGTCGAACCGTTGTGCAACCGCTTCCAAACGGTTACGGAGGGTTGTTGCACTCGACTCGACTCCGACTACTTGGTGTCTCTATTCACGCTGGCTCCAAGTAAATACTCCCCGTTCTTGATGTGCCGTTCGTAGTAGGTCCGCGTGAAAGCCTCTGCACATGATTCCCTTTGACACGGTGCGAGGGGCAGGGGAGGCGATATACTCGTGTAAATAATGCGCTTTTCTCACCGAGATATCGCCGTCGCGGTTCGAGCGGATATATCACGCTTTACGTGTGACTGTATTCTCTTTCGCAAGAATACACGTAACAAGGTAAATAGTAATCGAATAGTATTCGAGACGAATACGGTAGCTTTGTTATCGTCGCGTTCTGCACTTAAAACATGGAAATGCTTCACCTTATAACAGTGCGTTGTGATTATTCGGCGAAACGCATCGATCAATAATGAAAGGAAACACGTTCCGGTCGAAATGTTTATAAAGTCATGTTACGTATACTCGCGAGATCACTAGGATTTTCTCGCGCAAACATGGAAAATCGTGGCAGGATTGTTCGATAAACAATGTCAAATATCGCGTTTCATCGATTCCCCTGAATTACGAAAGCGTGCATTCGCAGTATGCGCGTACTATACTGTTGCTAACTAGGACGACACGTACGCGTGTGCTCGTGGGGCTTTTCATTAAAAAACAGAAATTCGAGTAATACGCAACGAAAATATCCCCGCCACTGTTACGGTCCACTTTCCTCCATTTATAACGTTAGATTAATCCACGCACGTTTCCACGAGAGAACAGGCCGGAGCGAAAACAATCTGATAGGGAAATGGTTGGAACGCGAACTCGCGACAGGATGATCAATCCATCATTGATTACGCTTCTGGTTGAAATAACCGGGCGCAGAAAAATATTCATTATTCATACGCGGCGGTCCTTGGCCGTACGAAGCAGCGGAAAGAGCGCGTTTTCAAAGCTTCCGGTTTCTCGTCTGATCGATCAAAAATTCATCGTTTCCCTGCAAACACGTTTACAGTCGAAAGTGTAACCCGGTAACGGCAGTGACGCGTAAAAAAAAGAAAGGAGAAGCTCTCATCTCGAGCAGGATTCGTCCAACACCCCCCCCGTTCGTTTCTCGCTCACGACTTAATTAGACCGAGTCGAAGTTATTTCATTCAACACCGTGGCAACTCTAATATTAACTTTGCCACCGAATAATACGTCGAGAACGCCCGGGAGCGTAAGTTCGAGCGACGCAAAGTGCGCGCGATTAAACAAAGGGAGGTGACGGGGGTGGTGGAACCCCGTTTAAAAACAGGCAGAATTCGCATTAAAGGATTATGTCTACCTGTTCGCGAAAAGTCACGTCGTACAAACATTACTCTCCCACGTTTCCACCAAGGGGGAACCTTGTTTTTTCCCCACCCCTCCTATTCACTCCCTCGGCATCTTCTTTGTCTCACACACACCTTTGTCTCTCTCCCTCTCGCCGCCGATAACTTTCCCGCGGGAGCGAGAAATCGGTCGCCGAAAATAATGCGGTGCCGCGCCGCGGAGAAGCGTGATATTCGGTTAAAAGCCCGGTAGATTGCCATCAGTGCGCATCTCAGCTACGTAACGCCAGAAGTTGCGGGAAATGACTATGGGAGGAGGAGGTGGAGGATAAAGGGGCGGAGAAAGAAAGACTTTGCCGGTAGCGAGAGTGAGAGGCGAGGGTGGGAAAGGGAATGGAGAAAGTGGACACGAGGGTGAGACGAAGAAACCGAGAAACAGAGTGGAGGAGGGTGGTTGGAACGGAGTGGCGCGAGAGGGCGCGAGCGAGAGGGAGGAGAACGCGAGACACTGGCGTTAGGCGAAGGAGGAGAGAGAGAGAGGAACGTTGAGCGAGGAGTGAATGATGAATGCCTATAGAAATGCCGGTGTCTTTCTTCCACTCGCGTAGGTATGTAGGTGGAGAACTACCGGCTAAGTCGACGAAAAGACGAGGAGGAGGTCGTGGCACGAGAGGTGGTGGTGACGTTGGAGGAGGACGAGGATAGTTGGGAAGGTTCGTTGCCTTGCCAAGTTATACCGCACACGGCGGCTTTCTTTGCTACTCGAAGGCCGCTTCTCTCTCCACTACTTCACCTCCACTCGTTTTCTCTCCTTCTCTCCTCCAACCTCTCTTTCTCTATATTTTCACAGAATTATGCGAAAGACCACCACGAAAATATATCAACGGAACGCGTCATCGGTACTTGACCCCGCTTATGATACTTGCCCCTCGACCCACCGTCACCACCCACCTCTCGTTCGTTGCGGAGGGTTCCAAGAGTGTTTCCAGCCGATTCCTGGTCGACGTCACGTTGCACATATACATTACGTATT